AATAGTATAAATTTTACTACAAGGAATCTAAATTTTCTAGATAACAACTTGACGGGGAATTTATTGATTTGAAAATAATATAAAAACTTTAATTATTGAATACATTAATTAGTTACGTTCAATAATATATATGATGGAAATATTAATCATTAGTATTAGAGTAATCATCTTATTTTTGATGACGACTTGATAACGAGTCTGAATATAAATAAATAAATATTCTAGCTCACTTTTATTTTCATCTGCAGTGCTTCATATAAATATTCTCAAACTCCCAAAGTCTCTTATTCCGTATCATAATGAGTACGTTGTTTGAAAATACGTTTCGTCATTTTCTTAACTTCCAAAGTTTGAAAACATTAAAAAGTTTCGCTTACGGTTTTGTCATGCTTCCGCAATGTACCTCGAGGGCAATTGCTTAATACTAATAATATCCTTTTGTGTACAAAACATTAGTACACCTGAAGCTTAAAAATTATGCAAAAGTAGATAATGCACTTTTGTTCATTGTTTTGTTTTTTTTTATTACAGGCAAAGGTCTTCATTATGCGAAAACAGGACAAAAATCAGATTTCTTGGTGGATACTTGCGATGTGCCAGCTGGAACTTTGTGGGTAACTTTGGACGGGCCTGGAAGAGCGGCCATCGATTGTTCGGAGGTCGAAGATGGATATAAAGTTCGCTATACGCCTCTGGTTGCTGGAGATTACTACATTTCTGTTAAATATAATCAGTATCATATCATAGGATCGCCCTTCAAACTTCAAGTGGAAGGTAAGACTTAAATTGCAGACGAATAGAAAAAAATCATATAAAAATTCAATAATTAAATTTTTTAATTAATTGGTTTAAGATGTCTAAATTGTAAGAAAATAGTAAATCATAGATACATTTAATTCTTTGATAACGCGGTGTGTGTGTCCTGTGCAATATAAGAAGCGTGCTATAAGAAACTCAGAATTAGAACACCTTACAGCATTTGTATGATATTTTGAATTTCTAATAACATTCATTTAATAATGTTTTTGTGTACAAATAAAACTATTTACTACAATTGAATTATTGATTAAATTTAATTGAACATAATCCTAACTTAATCTGTCTATACCCTTTGACATTTGACATTTGACATATAAGCAGGCCTTCATATCCATCTTCATATTCATCATTCCAAATCTCGGATAAAATAGAAATGTTATTGTAATACTATGTTACGGGTCTATATACCTATGAGTTGGTAGTAACAAATTGTCAAAAAGTTATGTATTTGCTATGCGATCAGGCGTTATGCGCATAAAACCTAACCTACAAAACGTCAAACAACAATTTTATTATAAATGCATCTTTTAGCACCTGATTGCATAGCAAATACATAGCTTTTTGACAGTTCGGCACTAACAAATCGTACGAATATAGACCCAAAACATAGCATTACTATAACATTTTTATTTTATCTGAGAATTAGTCCCATTATTAGATTTATAATATTATAATGTCGCAGTACATCAAATAAAGACTTTGAACATTTTTTTTAAATTGATCTGAAACTGTTAGTTTTTCAAATAATATGAAATAACAACAAAATATATTATTGTCGATTACATTTTATTGATTAAATTTAATTAAACATATCTGTCAAAACCACTTGACATTTGACAGATAAGCTGGTCATATTCACATTCATCAGTTCAAACTACGCATTTTCCGCCCTTTGTTGATTTTCGTCAAATTTCAAATGTAAAGTTTCTAAGCCATTTTGAAATAATTTTTCACATTTTCCACGAATATTTCAAGACTAAAACCGGCCAAATCGGTGCAGTCGTTTTCGAGTCTTTGCATACCTTACATAATATTAAGCTTAATTTTCATATATAAAGGTGTATATGTGGTGAGAATCACTATAATAAGTTAAACGGACTGCAAATTGTAAATATTCCATCACCATAAGATATGAGTATAAAACCACTATTTAATTTATGATATATATTAATTTTCACTTTACAACCTAATTGTAACAATAGAAAAAAAAAAACTTTACAACCTTTTCCTTTTGTTATTTTTGCTCTCAGTTATTATAAGTTACAGGTATTTATATTCATACATTTATACCCCCTACCCCAAAGGATCCCGGTTTAAATAGAAAAACCCCTGGTCAAATCTTGACCAATATGTGATTGTGTATTTATTATTTTCAGGTGAGAATTTAGCTGAGTTAGGTGCCCAAGAAACTTCTTCAGTGAAAGTGCAGACAGTCCAGAAAATATCAAAGGAAGGCAAAAAACTTTTGCCAAATATGCCTGTATTTAACTCTGATGCCAGTCTTGTAACTAGCAAGGGAATAGGCCTTAAGAAAGCCTACATGGGCAAACAAAATCAATTCCAACTAAATGCAGCTGAAGCAGGTTAGTCACTATTTTCGAACAATTAATTTGTTTTAGTTTATTTATTTGGTTTGTATTACTTATCAAATATTTCTTTTTAGGAAATAACATTCTTCTAGTTTCCGTGTATGGTCCAAAAGGTTTCAACGAAGAAGTATCTATTAAACATACAGGAAAACACCAATATACAGTCAGTTATTTGGTGCGTGAACGTGGCGAATATATTTTGTTTGTAAAATGGGGAGATGATCATATTCCTGGATCGCCGTTTAAAGTGGACGCGTAGACGTCAAATATTAAAAGTTTTATATAGTTTAGAAATTCCTCGGTACAGAACACCCTCATTCCTTTGACCATCCATTGTATCTACTCCTATTTGTGTACTTACCTTGAAAATGCCGTGCAGCTCCCAATATTTCCGAATTATTAATAAGCTAATATTTTAATCACACTTAAAGACTTTTTAAATTTAAATTTATTTTTTTTATTTGGCGATTAATTAATTAGAAATTTTAAAATAACAAAAAGTTTATTTTTAAAATCGCAAATAATGGGCGCTCGCTTAACTTAATTTATTTTTTAAACGTTTGTACTAATGCTAGATTTTTTATAGCCAAGTCTGACAAATATGCCTGCTCTTACCTGTTTTGTGAGTTTATTAACAATCGACAACAGTTACTAATATTTTTAACTTTCTGGCGATCCACGGCAGGGTGTGTCCAGGTGAGTGCAATTTATGTTTCTAAATTAGTACATACTATCTAACCTTATTTCCTAACAAAAAACTTTAATAGGACTTTATCAGCCTAACCAAACTTGATTTGTTTAAGCTATTTTTTTACAGTCTTATTGGAATTTGATATTTATCTTATTACAAATTCTGAAAAAATGATCGCAGTCTTTAACATCTTAAATAATTGTAAATAAGTCATAAATTCTCTGTGAAATTTGAAACTCAAACGTTTGCACTGCTCTTGATATTTTAATTGCAACGCTTCTATAAATAATTTTCCTTGTACTCGTTATTAGATGATGAAATTTAAAATTTGTTATCGTGATAGTATTTATAATTTAATTTCTGACGTTTTCAGTAATCAAATTAAATGCATGCGCTTAGAGTATTTTAACACATTTTTTATTAATTAGACTTGTCCTGTCCATTTATCATTTTTTTTGAAATCCTGCCATAGTTTTAATTTGAATACTATTTTTCTGGATGCGATAAATTTATAAAGCTATTTGTTATATATTAGTTATTTAATTTTAAAATGGTTTATTATAATTATATATTACAGTATAAATAAATTATTTTAAATATTCGTATTTTTTTAACAAACATAAATATAACCCGAAAACGATTTATAGATATTGTGGCCAGATCTCGGATGAAATAGAAAGGTTATGATAATGCTATGTCACGGGTCTATACTCGTATGAGTTCGTAGTAACGAACTGTCAGAAAGTTAAGCATTTGCTGTGCGATCAGGCGTTTTACGCATAAAACCTAACCTACAAAACGCATTAGCGTCAAATAACAATTTTATTATAAGTGCATCTTTTTGATGTCTCTTACGTGAAGTTAGGTTTTATGTGTAAATCGCCACAGCAAATACATAGCTTTTTGATAGTTTGTTACGAACAAATCATACGAATATAGATCCGTAACATAGCATTACTATAACATTTTTATTCTATCCGAGAATTGGTCCCATTATTAGATTTATAATATTATAATGTCGTAGTACGCCAAATAAAGGCTGTGCACACTTTTTTTAAATTGATCTGAAACAGTTTGTTTTTTAAATGATATGAAATAAGAACAAAATATATTATTCTTGATTACATTTTATTAGATTTAAATTTGAATGGTTCACAATCTTAAAACGTATCACATCTACATTAATAGTTGGACTATTTCAATAATACAGAATTTTATACTTGTAATACATATACATACATAAACACATACATGTTTACATACGTATATGTATTAGTTTGTAAATTTATATATACATGATATCAACATTTATAATTGATATTCACTTATAAGTTGTTCAGAATGTATTTTTGCACAAACATATATCGCATTAGTCGCTATAAGTATTCGTTGGTTACTTTGTCGGTACAATTATATTTTTTTTATTTTGGGTGTACACACATGCTGAAATTTATGCGTTAATAATGAATATTTTAATTTACCATAGAAGGAAGCGTAGCATAGACAAGAAGAGTTAAATTAATTAGTTGTTGTGGATTGTCAACGTATTTTGAGTGCATATAGATAGGTATAAAGAATATTATATAAATATCGCTTGATTCCACAAGGACAACAATCAAGCTCTTTAAAGTTCTGTTTAAATATCACACAGTTGTACTATAAGTTTGTTGGAGGGATATGTATCAGAAACCGCATGCGCCTTTATGAATTTTTCAATTCAAAGTAAGCGGAATGCTAGGTTTTATTTAAAATATAACACTGACAAATCCACAATTTGTTTATACATTTTAAACTCTAATCCTGGAGCTAACAGAAACTAATAAATGCAACGATGATATTGATGTGAAACCAACAATACAAAGACGGGTGCGCTGTCGTTAGCAGCTAGCACTAAGAAGGGTTTACTCGGTCATCATGGGCTCCCTCTTCTTGCGGCCGGGACCTCCGGCGTAGTTGGCGGCTGCCAAGCCCATCAAGTGCTTGGCGGCCTGCGAACCAGAATAGCCACGGCTCAAGCCCAGATCTAGTCCGCGTTTGGTACTGGAAACACAACATTCGTAGGAAATCAATCAAATAACAAGGTCTTAGAATAGATACATTTTTTATATTAAATTCAAGGTAAATTGTGCTATAAATTAAAACATTTACAAGCTACCTAGAAATTTACACATTTATGGGCCGATTCTGCCGTAAATTTGACCAATGTTATGGCAAGGCTATGTTAAGCCCTGTTCATACGACGCTTGTTTTCTGGGTTGGATAGCATGCTTGATTTTGTCGCGTTAAATTTCATGATAGTTTTTCAAGCTGTTCAAATCACACGATTCCAGCAAGCTTGCTTGCCTTGAGTGAGATTCGTTTTAGCTTGCTAGATATTCTAATAGGACAAACCACATGACAAAATATTGCTTTCCTATTGATTCGAACGAACGAATCCATCCACAAAAATAGCACACGTTCAAAGTCCAAATCACTCGAGGCTTGTTAACTTCCCGCAGGGTAAGTAGGTAAGTTATTGTAATCGTCTAAAAATCGAAATTAAACATTTTTGCATTTCTCGACGTTTTGAAGGTTTCTGAACATTTTGGAATACCTCAGAAAAAATGGATGTGTGTGTGTATGTATGTATGGATACAATTGTTTGGTCACGTTTTCGGGCGCACGGATCGACCGGTTTGAATGGTTCAAAAACATTCGATTCGTGGAGCAGTTACGGAGATAAAGAGCAAAGAGTGCAGAAAATAGAAATCGAGTTTTTGAGTAAACGGAGCATCCCATTTAAATAATCTAAAAAACATTCAATTAGTAATGATTGGGAGAAGTGGTTATTAGTTTATGGCAAAGACAGGCCCAGCCATTTCGAAGATACAGAGCTAAATATGCAAAAATGGCAGTTTTTGAGGAAACTAAGCGTCCGATTTAAATGATTCAAAGAACTTTCTGCTTGTTTTTAAAAAAAATTTGGTTTTGGAAAAAAAAATTTGTTTCAAAATTTTTTTTTTCAATTTTTTTTTGTCGGAAATAATTAAGATTTTATTTTTAATTCTGACTAAAGTTTTCATATACTTTAAACAAATAATTTTAACTTTGCAATTTAGTTTATATAATTCTTATAAATATTAGACAATGTTTCAATATTTATAGAAATCTATTTGAAAACATTCCATATTCCTCGAACATTTTGTTACGGTACGGGAAGTTTTAGCAATTTGCCTTAAAGCACGATGCCATACACCCCACTAGTTTCGTTACTTTTTGCTGTTTAGCATGCTAGTTGTCAAGTTGAAAAATGTCATCATGGAAAAGTTAAAAAGTGCACTATTTTTGTGGATGGATTTGTTTGTGCCAACCAATAGGGAGTCAGCATTTGATCATCTGATTTATAATATTTGATAATTTAGCAAGCTAAAACCAATCTCACTCATAAATCTATTAAGTCAAAACAAATCACACTCAAAAATCAAGCGAGCTAAAATAAACAAGCTTAAAAATTAAACATGTGTAGATGTTCTAAGGGAGAACAAACGATTTATTTCTAAACTGTCTTCTAAAAAATTTGTATCTCAGTATCTTTTACCCCATATGCCATTTTGTTCATATAGTATGGTTTTCGTAATTAGTTGCATTTGTCCTTAATAAATATGTTATTATAGTTTCTACTGAATTAAAATACTATGTTACTGGTGGTAGTCAATGAATTTAAAATTAATAAATAAATGAATATTCACTTTTCCTACACCAAGAATGGATACGTGAGTGTATGTTAAATTAAATGAATTATATTTTATAACTAAATATTATGGATAAATATACAAAAAATAGTTCTTACTTTTCAAGATCGTGCGTTCGCATGATAGTTTGACCCAGCCTTGCAAGCATCTCCAAAACCACAGAAGGATCTGGCTCGCCATCCATGTCGGAATAGTAGTTCAGACGGCTGAAAATTAAATAAAAATCACATTATTAAGAACTTTTTTTAGTATTTGTAAAAATAAACATATATTGACATTTTACATTATTTGGCCCATTATGGACCATTTTTTTGGTAAAATAGATAATAACATAGCATTGTTATGGCAACGCTATGTTATGATTAGTTCTTGGTACTAAAAACTGTGAAAATTCTATGTATTTGCTGTGCAGTCCGGCATAATAGATATTAAACATGAAACTAGCTGTAAGTGGAATTCTGTCTTAAGGCAATTAGGGCATCGTGCCTTAAGGCAAATTGCTGGAACTTCCCGTACCAAAAATTATTATTTTTTTTAAAACGATTAACATTTTTGAAAAAATTTTACTTAAAAAAAATAGATTTTTGAGAAATTATAAATTAGACAAAAAATTATTTTTTTTTTGAAAAAAAAAAATTTTATTTGAAAAAAAAATTTTTTTTGAGAAAAAAAATTTTTTTTTGAAAACAAAAAAATTTTTTCAATATTTTTGAAATTCTGAACTTTTTTTCAAAGCAATCGCACTGCTTGAACTGCATAGAGACGAAATGTCAAAGCTCGCAAGTGCCGCGCCGCCATCTAACGCATAAGCATTGGTACGGAACCCATAGAAATGTGAAAAAAATTTATACTTATTGTTAAAATCTCTATAAAATATCTGATAATTTGATGTGCGTATGTCTAATGATCATTTTTAACCGCCTAATAGCATTTTTTTTTACTTTTTTCATTAGATCTCCGAAACCGCTAGACCTGCCTTCATGAAAATTTGATCAATTCTACATCTTGTCAATACAAGTAAAATGTTGTTTGAATTATTCAAATCGGACGCTCCGTTCTCTTAAAAACGGAGGTACCGTTTTTGGCACTTTTTGCCCCGTATCTTCGGAACGGATAGACCTGCCTTTGCCAAAAACTAATCAGCACGTCTCCTTATCAATACGAATCGAATGTTTTTTGAATTATTCAAATCGCTTCATCCGTGTTCCCGAAATCGTCGACGAAAATTTGTATCCGCACATACATACACACACATACATACATACATACACACACACACACACACACACATACATCCATTTTTTCTAAGGTATGCCAAAATGTTCAGAAACCTCTGAAACGCAAAGATATATAAAAATTTTCATTTTCGATTTTTTTGCGATTACTATAACTTGCCCTACGGGAAGTTAAAAATGTGCAAAAAAAAAATTAATATTTTTTTTAAATCAGCTTAAAAATGTCAATATGTGTATTGTTAGTTTTTCGAAATATTTAATATTATTGCATTGCATTTCGAAATATTTAATATTAATTATGATTTTTTGAGCTAAACGCTTCCTATAAAAAAAAGTCATTTATAAGTAATATCTACAATTCGGTAATGTGGGATGTTACCTTCTTCAGGTACTGTTAAAACATACAAAAAATCTTTGTACATTTGTACAATTGTTTTAAATATTTACGATCTTGAAGGAATCACGTTTTATCATTTGTGTGTGTTTGTGATTGTGTCTGTACCTCTGTTTGTGTGTGGGTGTTTTTGTATGTAAATTTTCTTGACGACAAAATCGTCACAGGGAAAGTAAATTATGTTCTTGGTAATTCTTAAAGTAAACGCCGAAAGAAATGTAGAGTAAACAGGAGCACCGTGGAACGCGAGAATTACTTCCCATAATATTTGCACAATCTCGTAACCTATACTCTCTCGTAAAATGTATAATAACTTTATTGTGTTATTAAATTATTTTATTATTATTTATAAAGCTGAAGTATTATATGAACACAATAACCTAACGATAACACTTGAAATGATGAGTTTATAGCCGTCTTTTGTGACCATGTGCGTTTATTAAGAGGCAATATCGTTTCGTAATGGCAGTGTCGGAAGAGCGAATTCACTTTTTTTTAAGTTACAGATGTACTTTTTTACTATATGAACTCCCATCCTAAATCATACTAGATTATTTGTTCAATACCTACCTTTGACTTGATTTAAATAATAATTAGAGTATATTTTTTATAAAGTGATAATAGAAAAATAATTTGATTTTTCAATTTTGTTCATCACCATCATAACTAGATCATAAGAATTCTGTGATTTCCGTCAGTTTAAAAAGAAATGTTCAAATTGATAATTTATATCCCAATTTAGTAAAAAGACTAGAACTTGTTTGAAAGTTATAAAATAGTTGTGCACCCCTGTTTGTTATATAACTTGCACCAAAGTATAACTACTGGTTCCATCTTGTCGTCATTACCAAAGAAACAACAAATAGGTCGATCTCACATGGTTTTTTAACAGTTGCTTACCAACTCATACGATTATAGACCCGTAACAATACAATTTTATTTTATCACTTTATTTGTGCAAATTATACTCATGTAGACGATTTGTTTAATTTTTGTTGGGTGGAAGTGTAGTAAGTGTCTTAAAATAATTATTACCTGTGGTTTTTCACCTGTCGATATGTCACAATTATTAAAAAAGTTAGAAAGTGTTAAATTGAATTAATTAAAATTAGAAAGTGTGTATAACAAATATCTGAGCAATTCAGTATAATGACTATTATTAGAAATGCTTTGAAAGGTATGAAACTGTTGTGCATCTCTGCAAGTTCACGTAGTTCGCTCCAAAATAGGTGACAACTATAGATTCCATTTTATGTCATTGCCAAAGAAGTAACAAATATGTAACAGTCGAATTTTATAGTACGTGCTGGTAATAAGTTATTTTGATTATCAGTTTGTGTAGTGCAAAAAAATATTGTGTGACAATAAGGAAGTATCCAGATACCAGGGTTATAAATTAATAAAAAAAAATTGTGATACTATATACACTTATTCAATGACTTTCCGAAAATGTGCATAAAAATCACCGTTTATGGGCGAGTTCTAACTCATGTGTACTGTTTGTTTATTTTTGTTATGCAGAAGTGTAGTGATTAGAATGAATTTTGGACAAAATGCACCTGTGATTTTGGAATCAAAATTGATAAGTGTCTTAATGTCAAAATTCGACTCAATTCAGAAAAAAATGATGATTAATAGCGCGGGCGCGTTTCGGTAAGTCATGCATGTTTTGTTTATTAAATTATATATTCAGTATACGATGTAGTATATCATATTTGCCGGGTCAGCTAGTACATTTATTTATATTTATTTATTATAATCATCTTTTGCAATAATTTCAATATATCATTCTAATATACATACACGTGATATAACAATTCTCATATATCTTACTACTTACATTTTATACTAATTCTAAATCTATAGTTATTGAATTATAGATTATCTGCTATGCATGACATTTTTACGTCACATTTTTAATAAAATACTACTTTTACGAAGCAAACATTTTAATTAATTCTTATTTGTACAAAACCAAACCACAAAATCCCAATGTACAACTAAAAACAATATGACAATATTGTTTGCAGGGCCCAGTATGATGTCCATCGATGATTATATTTTGCAAATCTCCTAAAGTAAAATGTTGCATAACAATCAAAAATATGTAAAATTCATTCTGTTCCGATTTGTTTTACAATTATGTATAAAAAGTACAATATCTTCTGCCTCGGTAATCTGGTTATGCAAATACCTTTGCACAAATTATTTCAATTATAAAAGAAAGTCACATCGTATGACTATAGATAGATTTCTTAGAATACACATATCTACTCGTACGTATATGCATTTAGGCATATTCATTTATTTAAAACAACAAATAAGAAAATAACACCAAATTTGTTTAATTGTTTGTCATTTATGACTTTTATAAATATGTATGAAATACTTGTGATTATTTAACAAAGAAACTACCTCGATGCCTGCCCTCAGTAATTTGATTAGGCAGACCTTTGCATAAATCGTTTAAATTACAACTTCGATCTAGAACTGCGGTCATTTCGTATGGCTGCTAGAATTTTATATTACGCACATATCTACATATGTAAATATACATTTATGTATATCTACTTATACATTTATGCATATGCATATATAATGGGTAATACTGCCCTAAGGCAGATCGGTGAGCTGAGTCAAACTCCAACTGGATTTTGGGTGAGTTAAATTTCAACTTGATTTAGAGAAGAATAGTGTGGGAGATTTTCCGAATGGGCTATTTTCCACAGAAAACATTTTTCATCTCAATTTTTAAGTGAAAATTGATATCACTACTGCATGATAACAGGTTATCTAGAGCGGGAGTTCGAAATCACAAGCCAGTTCACATGAGGCAACACCTATGCGCATGTATGTATATGTATATGTATATATATATATATATATATATATTTGTTTTTAAATGCGGCACTGCACTCTAGTTTAGATGATCTCGCTCCGGTAGTTATGAAATTAATAAAATACTTTGATTGTGGTGGGCGACCACCACGTGTGATATCTTTTCAACTTCCTGTAGGGTAGTTATAATGATGGGCCGAAAATCGAAAATAAAATTTTTTGCATTTCTTGACGTTTTGAAGGTTTCTGAACATTTTGCCATACCTCACAAAAAATGGATGTGTGTGTGAGAACATTTAATATTGGCCGAACATTTTGTTACGGTACGGAAAGTTCCAGCAATTTATCTTCAGTCTTCATATATTCATTTGATTCATTCCAATATTTCGAATTTTATATTATATTAGTTTTCATATCAATGTACGTCAAAAAGTTAAATCTTTGCAGTTCGTTCTAGCGTTTCACACATAAAAATTAACATCGAAAAGTCACAAACGTTAAAATATTAACTTTGGTTAGACTTCACGTTTGTGTACAAAACCTGAAAATACACAGAAATTACCAGTTAAATACAAAAATCTTTAACTTTTTTTCAATAGGAAACTAACGAATTTGCCGGTAGCAATAAAATAATATTCATTTACCAAAGAATTGACCGATTTAATATTTGCTTACAAGATACCGCACTGTGCTGTCTATACTGACATCAAAATATTTTGGCTAAGAATTAAAATCAACTACACTTTTACACCAATCGGTCAGAGGGCAGTTTTATCTACCATATCGATATATCGATACAAATTCAATCGGGTTTGTATACAAACCGAAGTTCTTATCTTTACTACGCATATTACTATTGTCTTTGGTCTATGGACAGTTGACGTTAAGGCAAATTTCGAGCTCTCGAATTCATTCGGTGTCTGCATTTCGCAGCAGGCTCAACAGAGGCGTTTTGACCCGGGACGCCAAAGCATCCCGGGTCATAATCGTCGTATGTTCGAAATGCCGAAATGATCAGGGCAGTTTGTGATAGTGAAATTTTATTTGGTTTGTGCTTGGATTCTTCATAACAGAATGTGATAAGTGAGTATTGCCTTTTTTCTTGTCAAGATCAATCAATACAGTCTCTAGCCTCTAGGATTGCGATTTTCAGAGCCATCAACATGGTGTTCGTTTAACATCTAATTAAATAGGTGCATTCCATGCGCCCAATAAAAGAATTTCTAATAACTAGATATTGGTGTGAAAATTTTAAACATAAGTTTTGTATGTCCGTATATATATATATATATATATATATATATATATATATAATATAATTTTATTAATATGCAAGTAATTAAATGTCAAATGTTGTGTGCGTTCATTTGTATGTATAATATTAATATTATCAATATACATGCTATCAAAGAGGTAATACCATAATACTTGCAAATAGTAATCCATATCCAGTAGGTAATTCATATCAATGATTTAACTTTAATAACAATAAATTAGTTTTAACTTCGGCCATAAGTTCTGCTCCGGATAATGTATATAGCCAATTATTTAACGTAATTATTGACGTACTAGATTTTACATATAGCTACTGGGAATATGAGAGGAAACTTATTAATTTTGAAGAACTAGCCGGGTATTATACGAAAACTATTATAGAGTTTAATTATTAATTAAAATAACTACAATTATGAAACATCAAATTCGAACATCAGCATCAGACAAAGTTTCTTCATAATTGTAAGGGAATAGTGGAAAGTTGCTACTGTTTTGAATATAAGCTGGTTAATGTACAATCGTTATATTTTTTTACCAATATACAATAATCTCTTTCATTGTACAAAGATTGGGATAGAGTTTAATTATTGATTAAAATAACAACAATTATGGAACACCCATTTTGATCACCATCAGACAAATTTTATGCATAATTGCAAAGGACTAGTTAGAAGTAGCCAAAGCTTTAAATGTTAGCAGTTAAATATAAAATCATTATAACTGGAATCGAGTTTAATGAGTAATTAAAATAACAACAATCATGGAACATCAAATTTGAACATCAGCATCAAAGTTTCTACATAATTGTAAGAGAATGGTGGAAAGTTGCCACACTGTTGAATATGAGCCGTTATAATTAAAATCATTATATTTTGCATACTAATAGAGGTGAATCTTTTTTATTATACGAAAACTGGAATCTAGTTTAATTTGTAATTTGTAATTAGTAATTAAAAGATGTAACATCGTATTTGAAGATTGGTATAGAGTCCTACATAATTGTAATGGAATAGTGGAAAGTTGGTACAATTTTAAATGTAAGCAGTTAAATATAAAATTATATTATTTACAAATCGACTATAATCATTTTCCTTAATGCTTAAATTACAATCTGTCTATTATATGAAAACAATCAATGATTAGACTATTAGAAGCTAAACCAGTAGTTGTTTTTTCTAGTTACATTGTAATATGCTTGATTATTATTTTATACCAGTCTGCTTGATATCAATTTAGACAAAATGAGTATCAAACCCTGAAACAGTGGTAGCAAATCTACGTTTTTGCTATGGGGCTACGGTCTGGTTATTGAAAAGGTTATAAATTGAAGTTTATTGAAAACATGCGTGATCGAATAGCTTGACATTAAATTGTGTCATTTTTGTTTTAATAAATAAAAATAATGGACCAATTTTGCAGCATAACAGACAATTGTCATGACAAGACTATGTTATGAAGAACTTTTCGTACTAATTCGTTCTAAACATTGACAAAGCCATGTGGTTGCTGTGCAGTCAGGCATTTTTCTCAGGTTGTCAGATAAAAAACTTAACCTAGAAAGCGCACAAATGTCAAAAATCGGTCTTAGATAACAGGATCTTTCTGACTCAGCTTCATAACATACGAGTGACGTTGCAGTATATGTGTAAAACGCCTGAATGCACAGCAAATACATGATATTTTGACAGTATTCAGCATGATTCAGTAGCATAATGTATGGAAGTTGAAGCGTAACATGGCCTTGCCATAACATTGGACTGTTGTGCGGCTGAATCGGCCCCTAAATTAAAATAACAGTTTTACTTACTTGTGCAGCCTCGGTGCAGCTTCACACATACTTGTTAGAGCGACCATCACTGCAATGACCAGCATAATAGGTCCAATTTTGCTTCCAGTTTTCTGCATATTGATCTCTGAAAAGAAAAAATTGAAAATGGTTAATAATTTAGAAATACTGAAAATTAGTTATTGATTTTACTGATATAGTTTCACAAAATCCTTTATACAAAAATCAAATTTTTTTTAAAGATTATTAAAAAATTATGAACCTCTTTAACAAACATTTTATGTAGTCGATTAAAAAGTACCATTGGAAAAAACTTACATATTATATAAGACTTTATGAAAATATTAAAATATAAAAATATAAAAATTGAAAATTTCCGTATTTTCAAAGTAACTTTCAGAAGAATGAAATATAGGGTAAAGCGGGGCACAACAGTACAATTTGATTTTGAGCAATTCTATTGCAAAAACCAAAACAATTTTATCAACCATTAACTATAACTCCCAGTCCAATTTATTATTATAAAAATGAGATGTTTTTGCTGTTTTTCAAAAATTTGTCATCTGGTTCATTTTGCCATATAGGATATAGCCTGGAAGCAATCAGATCGAATGTCTTATTCTAATTTTGAAAGGATTTCACGAAATAATAGCTACATTATTTAACCAATGCAAAATATAAATTTTATGGGTACATTTTTTACAGGGATAATACTGTATGTAACCTTGATGTGATATTTTGTCTGAAATAATCATCAGCAGAGTTGGAATAACTATTTATTTAAGGGGGTTGTTTTTTTTTATTTTTCTTTGTTTCGGTTTTGAGATTTTTTGATATTATGAAAACTAAAATCCTTAGAATTATTTTAAAAAAAAAAATCATCTCAATATCTATTTTTTTGACGAAGTTATAGATATATATATATATACTTCTCTATACGTATGATCTTCTGAAAGCGTTTTTTTATCGTTCCGCGAGCTATTGTATGCCAGCTGCCTCCTTTTCATTATAATACCTCATGCACATGACCTTTTTGATGTGTCAGCATCTTTGAACACCATGGTGTATTTCGCACATTAAATTAAATGGTGTATTAAGTACATTATATTAAAAACTTTAAATACGTTTTTCTCAAATTGACTTTTTTCAATGCGGTGCCACAAATTAAAAAAAAACTACAAGTCTTGCATTTTTTTTTAATTTGTTCACCACTACAATACCTAGTCCCCCTACCTCAAGCAACTTGATAACATTACGCAAAAAAATTTTGCAAACCTTCTCGTCCCAAAAAAAGGCCTTTTTTGACACTTTTTTTTTAAATAGCTGCCATTTTTTTCCTTCTTGCTTTTTTTTTTCATTTTGGTAGGGGGACTGGATTCAAACTTCTTCTTCAACGTAGTTTCGTTTTTTTTTGTTTCAGACGATGCGCAACGGATTTATCTGTGGCACCGCAAACGAGATCGATTTTGCAATGCCCACTTTGGCGCCCTCTGGTTAAAAAATGACGGCGAAAAAATAAAAATAAAAAATTTCTTAATATTCTATGATTTTGTAATTTTTGTTTAAAAAAAACCGCATGTCTTTATGATAAATACATTTCGAGAAAAACGAAAACAAATACCTTGCATGTTTTGTATCAAAAAAAGAACAACCCCCTTAAATTATCTATTGCAAAATTGCTTTTTTACTTGATTTACTATTTTATTAACTAATTTTTATTGTTTACACTTTTGCTAGAGTAAAAGTTCATATGGTTTTTTTTTACCCCATTTTTTATGCCAACATTGTTACTGGATATTAGAATTTGCGTGTTTACTGAAAAGACTATATAATATAAGACTATTTTTTCGTAATTTTTGGTACATAATTTTCCTCTGATTTTCAAATCTTCAGCATTTCCAGAAGATATGATCTACTGTTTCTGGGGCCTTTAATCCTCTATCATTCTCAACCTCCAAAGATCGATCTTGCACAATGTGTGTCCAAGTCTTAGTCTTGATGTAGTTGATATGAAGTTTCTACTCCGTGTATTATATTATATCATCTTTGAACCAGTTTGTTCGAAACTTATATTTAATATCACAAAATCAACATTAACTTCAACTACTCAAAACAACATTATCACAAAATTCTCGAAAAAAAACTTTATTTGTTTATGATACAAACTATAAAGCAAATTTTTAAATACTTTTAAACTATGCAAAAAAAATGATTTTTTTGTTTTATTTGGGACTATTTTATCCTAAGCATAAGTAAATTTTTGGTTTATTTAAAATAAAATGTCTAAACCGCAGGATGGTATAAAATTAAAATTTTATTAAAGATGTGACAAATATTTATAATTAATATGAATATGAAACTAATAAAATAGTGAATATGACAATTATTATATAAAATAGTAAATGTCTGATTATTACAACGTCACAGGGTGGTTAAATAAATTATTCCAGCTCATATTAATTGGATCATCTTTAGTACAAGCACGAGTTCGTGTGATTATGAGTGCGGAAATAACGTGCTAATTTGATTAAATCTTTTAATATCGCGCCGAAGGAATACTCGCTTATCACAAAATGGATTAATTTTTGTATTTCATTATTATAAATTTTATTCATTATCAAAGAGAATCAAGTGGGTAATAGTTGGCGTTATGCAATTTACCATATTTTTAATAAGGGTAAACCCCCATAGATTTATTTATACTGAAAGCAGATAATTGAATTCTATTTGCATATTTTGAAATTGTAATCTTAGAAACAGCATTTCCAAATGTGTATCTTAAGAGTAATTACATTCAAACTCATAAGGGGGCGTCAATTAATCACGTGAGGGGGGTTTGACAAAAAATCACAAAATGTCACGTGGTGGAGGGAGGGGTATAGTAATATATCACGTATATTTATTTTTTAATTGATTTTTTTTAAATGAATCAAACAATTTCAAAAAAAAAATGAAAAAATGTACAGTTTTATCACGTAACTAAAAATACACGTGATGTTTGTGGGGGAGGGGGAGTAATTTTGATTATCATCATGTATCACCAAGGAGGAGGAGAATCCAAAAATCCTTAAAAACTCGCTCACGTGATTAATGGACGCCTTTTAAGTTCGCAAATTTGTCCAAAAGTCACCATAATACAATAATTACATAGTATAAAAAAAATTTAACAGCGATCAGAACAATATGTTCTAGGAGACTTGCTATCTATCGTACATCCTAACTTAGTATTTTTCCCAAAAAGGCAACCCAGTGGTAAACCACTCTTTTTTGTGACAACATGTTAGATATGTATATCGAATAATGCTGGCGTGTATATGTTACAGCAATGCCCACGAAATGCCATGAAAATTTTTGTTTGAAACCTATCACATCACGTTGAAATTTGATATCATACTGCTTAATATCACCCTGGCCAATGTTGGGGTGGAACTCGGGACTAGTTTGTGTAAGCCCACGTTTTTAACCATTACACCATGATGAGATAATGAAAACTTAGTAACAGGCAATATTGTCACGATATTTCGGAGAAAAAAGTTATTTATTTTGTTATTGAAAATGTTTCGTAAAACAACAGTTTAATTACATAGTGGAATTACAAACGATATTTTATTCAGTACTGCATTACATTTATTTATATTATTTATTTTTTATTGAAATGTAACGTACAACAAGTATCAAAAACATTTTTCAAAAAAATGTAGATCTAGAAAAAAAAATTCTTTGGAAAATTTTAATTTTCAGGAACTGATTAATGCAATAATAATCTTGTGTTCAAATCAATTGTTTTTAAATAAAAAAAAATATTTCACTCAATTATTTGTAATAAATTCTATATTAATTTCCTATTTCCCGTTACTAATGAATTTCATTTACATTCCACTTGCCTAAAACAGAATTTTCTATCTGATACAAAATAAATTTACTTTATTATTTTCGAGTACATACATGAATGCTCATATTCTAATTTTAATTGAAAACGTACAAAAATCGGTATCCAGACTATGTAAAAATTCGCTCGAATGAGCAAAGGTTCAAAGTCACGACATAACATAGGACTGTTTGTGTTCAATAAATGAAATTTATCATGTTTTTTGACATCAAAGGCCCTAATTTTTTGCGAATGTGATCTGTAATTTATGTTTTAAAGAAATTTTTACACTTATTAAAATACACTTATTTTATTTTAACATACTCTAATTGTACGTCGTTACGATATTAGCAATTAAAAAAACTAGTACTTTACTTTTACAATTTTAAAATTTTAAACAAAACTTTGAATTGCTTTTAATGAATTCGCTTTTTTTTATTATTATATAGTGTAACATTTTATCGGATTAAAGTAGGAAATTATGCCTTAGATAGGTAGGATCTTTTTCTTTATCATAAAAGTGTAGTTTTAGGTTTAACATCCTGAAAAAGAAGTTAATTTTCACGAAAAATTTACCTCGGCGTGTCAAGTTATTCTGAATCGTTTGTTAGCAAATTAGAAAAATGTGTATATGTAAACCGATCCTAGACTCTTCAAAATGGCTGAATCGTTTTTAAAAATTTAAAAAGCATATTTGATAAATCTCGGTAACGACTAGCTCATTAATTTTATAAGACGATTGGAGGTTGGATTATAAAAAATTATCTAAATTTGGAATTCATTTTTAGAAAACAATTTTGAAAACATGTTAAATTCATTTTTACAATTACGTATAGTGAAAGCGCAAACTTTATCTTCAAAATTGGACATTTTCATATGAAATTTTCAGGTAAAAATTTTATCTAGGTAGCTAAATCTTAATTCTCATCGGTTAAGTCCATTATTTACACATATGAGGAAAAACAGGAAAATTGTCTTTAGACAAAATGCCACTCACAACTAGTCATCCTAAAACCATAATTTCAGTTCATATAATAGGGAAACAAGTAACTAAGTGTATTTTTCATATCATTCATCGTTGAGTGCATTTCGAAAAACATTATTTCAATTATATTACAAAGACTAAAGTAATTATTCTTTAGAATTACATCAGTTTTATAATTTTTCCGTATTTTCTTATCCTTGCTGTCGCATCAGTTTTTGCGCTAAGCTTCTCAGCGCATATTTGAAAAATTTCAAAAGAATCTCTGTGTCATAGT